GTATTTTTCTTTCTCTTTCTGGCTGAGATAAGCATTATTTTTAATGAGCTATATGAATGAAAACAGAGTTCTGCTTATTGGTGTAGAACACCTCTAGCTGTTAATTTTGATTGGATTTGCTTTTGACCTGATTCACCCAACTAAAGGACAGATTCACATTCCCCAGTTTCCAGGTCTATTGATATTTTACTCAGGGAGTTTGGTTCAACAGATAATACTCATAAAGGATCCCTGACAACATTGGTTCCCCCCGCTTAATAAACAAAATGTGCATATTTTTTTATTTGCATCCATACAGTATGTCTGTGTGTATGCAATGAGAAGACTTAGAACTTTACCATGACATTATTAACAGTGACAAGAAGTTAGGACTTGCAAGAGTAGTGTGAGGGAAATCACAAAGGATGATTTTGTTGTTTGTTCATGCATTCATTTATTTTTTGGAGAAGTTCTGAATGGCTCTCAGTTTAGTGTGGAGGAAAGAATTAAAGGGAATTCGTGCCTGAGGGTCTGGGGGTCAGTTTTTCCAAGGTCAACTGAGGACAAGTTTGATCTGAAAGCCACAGAGTACCAGGTGACACAGGAAGAATAATAAGGGCAGTTGTCAATTCTGGCTTTACCAATACAAATTATTTAATTACTCTGGGCCAGTTATTTAACACTGAGGAGCCTTACCACACTTTGGGATAATGGGGTAGTTGTGAGAACAAAACACTAGCTCTCATATATGAGACCTCATATAAGCTCATGGCATAAATAATAATGAAGGTACAAAGCCAGACACTGGACTTTACCTATCATATGAATTCATATTTGCTTCTCAACCCTATTCTGTTTTTGAAGATGAAGAAACTCCAGTGCGAGTTCTACTCCCAGCCCCAGAGGTAACCCACATTGTGTTGCAGACCTCTCTTGACCCTCTGCTGCTCCCCTCAGCAGTGTACTTTGTCGATCTGCCTGTTCTGCTCCCCACTCTGTCTCTGGTGAATCCTCTCACTATCCCTGCACCTCTGGCCTGTACCCCAGTTCTGTTTGCATAAATAAACCTTAAAAAAAAAGAACCACTCTGAATACTGCAATTAAATGGCAAACGAAGATATAGAGATTCGCTTTTCAAGGTTTCCTAAACATAAGACTAGGGTCAGAAAAGTGCATTTAGTACTAGTAATAAACGGTTTTGCCTTAAAATCTTTGATTTTGTTGTCTTCCACCCCAAGAACAGCACAATTCTGCCACAGAAAGGGGGAGGGGCAAGCGTGCTGTGTCTTTACAGGTAAGAGCCTGCCAGCCTCTTGTTTTAATGTCTTCCTCTTGGAGAAAATTCAGGCAGACTATGCAAGATATTTTCGGAAACTAGGGCATTTGGGAAGCATTTCATAACATCACACTGGGGGCAGCTGCGCCTCCGCTGCAGTTTGAGAAGATGGTGATGTCCAGACCCTCTGGCCTGCCCGGGAAGCGCAGGATCGGTAGTAGCTAGTGGAGGGGACCGGAGCGACCTTGACAGCCGCGCGACCTTGAGGCCTGCGTCAGCCTCAGTTGCCCTCTCAGCGCAATGGGGAGACACCCTGACCGTCAACACAAGCAAATGTCTGCCTGCATAGGTTCCCGCCTGAGCTCGTCTCCAACTCCTTTCGGCACCCGACGAACCGTCTCGGGCCTCCCAGGGCCGCTGGGGATTCAGAGACCGAGATTCCGCGGGAGTCCGCTCCCGCGCCCACGCCGCAGCGCTGCGACGGAGCCCGCGGGCGGGAACCTGCCTGTGTCTGTAAGCGCGCACGCGCGCATGCTGTCCCGCCTCTCTGGCGCCGTCTCCAACCATTGGCCAGTCACGTCATCACTCTGATCATCTCGCAGTCTCAATTGGTCAGAGTTGAGGCGCGCGACCCGCTGGGGGCGGGACCCGAGTCGGCTATAAAAGTGGCGTGCGGCCAGGCTCGTGCCGCCTTGCAGACGCCGCCACCGCCAGACCTCCCGCGTCGCGCAGTCATGGTGAACCCCACCGTGTTCTTCGACATCGCTGTCGACGACGAGCCTTTGGGCCGCGTCTCCTTCGAGGTCAGGGCGGGCAGCGGCGCGCCGGGTGGGCGGACGGGCTAAGGGGAAGCGACCCCGAGGAGAGTGGGGTCCGGGCTTCCCGCCTGAGGATCGCGGGCGGTGCGGCGCCATTTCCTGACGAGGGGCCATTTTGGGAGGCCGGGGGGCGGTGGACAGACAAAGGCGGGGCGGCCACGGGTTGGGGGGAGGGGTGGCCGCGCCCTTCCGGCCGCGCACGTGCTCCAGCCACAAGCCGTTGTAGGCCGCGCAGGATTGCGAGCTCCAGAGGAGTCCGCAACGCTTCAAACGGAAGGCCGCCTCCGCGGGCCTAGGCCCCTTGGCCTCGCCCCCGGTCCTGAGCGGCGGCCACGCCCGAGGGCTGCTTTTGAAGGTTCAATCTTCCTCATGGTCCCCGAGGACTGCCAGTTACGTTAGGGCTAGGCGTGGCGTTGACGGTGACTTGGCCCGAACGCTCTTTTGGTTAGCTTAAAGGAGTGAAATTAGCTTAAATGTAGGCCCCAAAAGCCCGCCCCGCCCCCAACCGAGCGGAAACGTGCGGGCGGCCTTACGCCGCAGTGACGAAGACGACGAGGGGGAGGCGCCCTAGCCGCTCCCGGCCCTGCGAATAATGGGGCAGTCCGGACTGGCAGAACGGCAGGTCTCTTGCAAACCAGGTGGATTGAAGATGATTACCTAATTCGCAGGGTGGTGAAAGTACTTGTAAAAGTCTATCTGTAATTAGAGTGGACTAAGCATTTAACGTGCTACTAAAATGTTAAGTGGTAAATGCTATTCTCCCTTAAACCCAACGCAGTAGGGCTTGTGCACGTCCGAAGCAGTTTTACCTGCTTCGACCCCTTCTCAAGAAGCAGCTAGTGTTCCGCATGCAGTCTCAAGATTAGATTTTCTTTTTATGTAGATCATGGGAGAGATGATCCTTGTTGCTCTTTAAGCATTGCCTCGCACATAGTCACCTCAATGCTTCTTGGAGAAACAACTAATCGATCTGCTTCCCCCTTACATCTGCATCAGAACTAAGGACAAGGACCCACGTGGAAACTTGGCCTGAGCATAAAGCTTTGTAATTTGCCTTAGGTTAGCCACAGGGCTTAATGGAAATGAGATAGGAGCTTCTGCTTATTCCTTGGTGCCAATGGAGGTGGAGCTGCCCATAACTTACAGGTCTGAAAGGGAATGTGTAGTAATTTAAGGAGTACGATTTTACTAGATTGAGTTTAAAGATCTCTAATAGTTTCCGTGAAAGAACTTGTGTTTCTTATGGTATTTAAACATCTCTAGTTACCAAAAAATTTAGATCCTTAGGGAAGGTTTGAAGTACATGTACTAGCAACTAATCTTTGCTTTTCACTCTTCTATTAGGTAAGGGACCTGGAAATTTTAAGAAGTGACTACTCATCTAATCCATAAAGCTATGTTAGCAGATTGCAGGTAGTAGCATTTTCATTGGCAGTGACTAGTTCCCACTGATCCTGCAGGAGTAGATCTTGTCTTTAGGTTTCAGCTGAAGTTAGGGGAGGTGATGGACATCTGAGAAGCTATGGATTTGTTTAGAAGTAGGTGTGACACGCTTAAAAAGTTGTAAGTCACTTTTCAGAAGCCCCCTGCTATTTAAATCATTTCTGGTTCTGGATTTTTGGCCTGTTTCCAGGTCTCATGTTGCTTAGCCCAGTACTAACACAAGATCTTAATACTGTCAGGAACAGTTCTTATTTGGGATTCAAAGTAAATACTGAAGGAGCATTCTCTTATTGAGAAGCTGAATGATTCAGAATTTTAAAGAGTGAGTACCCTAAAGACATGGGTACTGAGTGAAAAAAATGAAAGCACATATTGACTGTTGTTTTCTTTTTCAGCTGTTTGCAGACAAAGTTCCAAAGACAGCAGGTTAGTTCCTTCCTTATTTCACCTTTTAAGTTACTTCAGTTATAACTATGTGCACGTATATGTATACTTTTTTCCTTTTCCAACAGAAAACTTTCGCGCTCTGAGCACTGGGGAGAAAGGATTCGGTTATAAAGGTTCTTGTTTTCACAGGATTATTCCAGGATTTATGTGCCAGGTATGAATATTACTGTGATTAGTTTTCTCCTAATTCTATTTACTGTTTAAATTTGACATAAGGTTTGAGCCTGTCAGATTTGGTGCTGTCCAATTATGTTTCTAAGGCTGATAGGTTCTTTCTGTTCACAGGGTGGTGACTTCACACGTCATAATGGCACTGGTGGCAAGTCGATCTATGGGGAGAAATTCGATGATGAGAATTTCATCCTGAAGCATACAGGTCCTGGAATCTTGTCAATGGCAAATGCTGGACCCAACACAAACGGTTCCCAGTTTTTCATCTGCACTGCCAAGACTGAGTGGTAAGGGCAGTATATAGCAAAGGCAGCCAAGGAATATACTAGTTATTTGCTGCAAACTTTCCCTAATGTAAAGGTAGTAGAGGGGCATGAATAGCTTCCAAATTTAATGTGATACAAAAGCTAGATACTATAATAATGAAATGGCACTTCGGCAACTCAGTAAGGCAGTACTTTAATTAGCATGTGATTTTGTCCCTTGGAGGGGTTGTCCATTCTAAACTTGATGGAAGCAATTGGAGAAACTGAGACTCAGTAATCTATGATGTAGCCTTTTCTTTTCCGCTAGAATAAAATGATCCCAATGTGTAGTAATAAGTCATATAAGTCCTAAAAGCTGTTCTCTTGGGTGTGCTATCAACTGGTTTATAGGGTACTGTTCTCATTTTAATACAAGTTTCTTGTTTTTCTCTTGTCACTGGTAATAATTATTGTTCTTCCAGGTTGGATGGCAAGCATGTGGTCTTTGGCAAGGTGAAGGAGGGCATGAATGTTGTCGAAGCGATGGAGGGCTTTGGGTCTAGGAATGGCAAGACCAGCAAGAAGATCACCATTGCTGACTGTGGACAAATCTAATAAATTTGACTTGTGTTTTATCTTAACCACCAGACCATTCCTTCTGTAGCTCAGGAGAGCACCCCTTCGTCCCCATCTGCTTGAAAATACCCTATAATCTCTGTGCTCTCCCTACAGTTCTTGGGTTCCATATTTCCTTATTCCCTTCCAAGTCTAGCTGGATTGCAGAGCTAAGTTTATGATTATGAAATAAACAATAAACAACAGTTATTTGTCCTTATTTGGGCTAGGGCATTTGTGTAGGTTACTTCTAAGATAGTATTTGCCATATTGCTGAATTTCAGGGTACTTTATATATTTTTTGTTTGCCTGCTTAAGGAATTAAAGGTTAGACGTATTCTCAAGGTAAGCTGTGTGAATGGAATATATTTAAAGGTAGTGGGAGTAGGAAGAATAAAGTTGAACCACTATTCTTTGAAGGGTGACTAGGGAAATTAACACTTTGAGGTGTCTAAAATTACTGCAACAAATTCTTCCAAGTCCTGCTTGGTTTTAAGATTTATTTAAGCATACAGAATTAGGGCACAGGCCAGAGGTGCAGGAGTGATGAGCTGTTAGTCTATAGGTTCTGAGAAAACATTCATTTTGGAGACTTCCTAGCACATACTTGAGAAATTTGAGTGAAAATGTTTCACCTGAAAGTGAAACCCCAGATCAACTGTAATGACCAGTCTTAAGCTACTTAATGTTCTGTGTTTCTTGAGGCTACAGTCATCCCTTAGTTCTGAAACTCCATGGTTTAGTGAAAACTAGTTTCCATTCATTCTGGGTGACTGACTAAACCCTGATGTTTGTGGATGGCAGCTTATATGGAGATGGCCCTTAATACTGCAACCTCTATTTTTGTGCATGCAAGAACTGGGGTGTAGGTTTGGGGGGGTGGGGAGTAGAACAGGTAGACTGAAATGCACTAAAGTAGAAAGGAAGGTTCAACAGGTGTCTAGTGTGGGTTAGCTCCCTGGCCTGAAATCAAATAGTGCCACGGTAGCTGGTGATAGCTTGATAGCACTGCCACCAGAGCCCTTGTCTTTGTTTAGCCATACTAGATGGCTAGGAAAAGGAGCCAAAGTAGTTCACAGCTTTTTTGGGAGAATGTGGACCAGATGCCGGTATTTGTTGCCTCTTAAATAAGGTTAGTAATGCCCTGATTAGAAAGAGGGGAAAATGTCTAGCAGATGTGTACAAAGGGTTTATCAGTATGTTGGCCATCCAGCTTTATTGGCTAGAGGCTCCTGTTAGGTTCCCATGAGTATTTACAGGATTTCCAAAGCTAAGGGGAGGGCATTTCCCTTTTTCAGGGCTTTAAATAACTTCTGCTTTATAGGATTGAAGGTTAGCTATGAAGCACTTGAGTCAAAAGTGTGAACACCTGGGGTTTTGTTTGGCAATTGTTAAGGCTACTGCTTAAAAACAAAGTTGAGTTTCTGTCCCAGTCATAGTTTTATAACTATGAACTTAAAAGATTTAATTGGGTGGAATATAGAGAAGTATGTTGGATATCAATTTAAAATTATCACAAAGTACGATTATAAGCGACAATTCTGAAGACAGCATAACTCCACTGAGTTCCTGCATTAAAAACAGCTCAGGAATAGTTGCTGGTTAGCACACTTGACTGTCAGCAGGGTTCCAATCCCTTGCCATAAGTGTCTTGTGGACTTGACAGTTTTCCTTCATGTATGCAAGCCTGAAGGCAGCTAAGAAACATCCCATTACTTGCACTATTGGCTTTTTTTTTAAATGCATACAAGAAAAGTGCAGGCCAGAGGTGTGGGAAGGGTGACACGTTTCACCAGAGGCAGGGTGGGGTGCAGAACACGCAGATATACTGAAAATATAATGCTGAGGGGAGCAGCAGGCCAGACAGGAGAGGTCTGCTATGCCGTATGTGGGTCACCTGTGTGCTGAGACTTAGCCCAGGGGGTCATAGGGAAGCACGTGTCCATCAAATGTTTAGCATTTAGGTGTGTCCTTAAAAACAGTTTGGTTTTGAAAAAGAAGCATGCTCAAACCAAATTGCAAAGGACATATTGTCCCTAGATGGAAAGGCATCCAGAAGAGCAGAATTTGGGATAGTGTGGCTTCCAGGGCGGGCAGCCAGATGAGCATCCTAGAAGGTAGCGTCGCCCATTTAGAACTATTCCTTTACTAATCTGAATCAGTTTAGAGACTTTTACATTCTTTCGATTTTTAAAAATCAGTAATGTTCTAATTGAACAAAGGAAAAGGAAATCAGTGAATGAAGTGATGTATTTCACTCTACTATGACCACTCACAAGAACACAGGGATGCACCTTGTTAACTGCACACAGCACAGGGTGCATGTTGGGTGTTGCGGGAGACAACACATGACTAAGAAATGGCGAACTTATTTTGAAGTTATTTTTTATTTTTAAGATTTATTTATGCATAACGAGCTGGGGTGCAGGCCAGAGGCACAAGGGATGAGAGGATTCACCAGAGACGGTGGGGGAGCAGAACAAGAGGATCTGAAATACACTGCTTAGGGGAGCAGCTTGCAATGGGATAGATGCTGCTGCGCCTTATGTCGGTGGCTCCCTGGCTGGGGATTGATTTTGTGCCAACAGCTTCATAGTGCTGAGACTTAACCCCTTGTGCCAGCAGAGAGGCCCCCTTGAATGGTTTTAATACCATGCAGTGTACACAAAAATTATCCCTTTTCTTTCCTTGCTATGTAGCCTGGCACTGGGATTGGTGACTGGTGGCCAGCTGTGCTGTTCCCTGCACGGTAGCTTTGTGGTTCATGGAGAAATTCTGAACAGTCTTACTTAAGATATGTTGCACGTCGGCAGCACTTCAAGCTCCTTCATGTTATGCACAGAGGACTTACAGAAGCCATTGACAGCATATGCTTTGTCTCCTTGTTGCTCCCATCCCCAGTTTGGGCATCAAATTCCAGCCCTGAAATACTCTGTGAAAATTCTTATTTGCTATGGGTTCCGCCCAGTGAGAGCTAATTTTCACATAGCTGCCTACAGTGGATGTGCTTCGTGGCCCTCTTTTTTGATGACTGTGGGCTCCCTCAGGGGTCTGAGTAGGAAATGGCTGCCCCTTCCATAGGCTGCACCCAGAATATGGTGTTTGTGAGGGCTGATGGGCTTAATCAGAAATGAATATTCTGGACACAATTGCAACCAACCAGTTCATGCGTTTCTACAGTTACACAGCTATTGCAAGTCTAGGAAATTTTGAACAACCCAAATCAAATCATTTGTGTTTATATATAAAATTAAGTTCTAGTACCCTCCCCAGTGGCACAATGGGTTAAAGTGCAGTCCTCTGCAGTGATCCGCAGCCACTGAGGCATGAGTTCGATTCACAGCCACGGAGCTGACCCACATGGCACTGAAGACCTCTCCTGCTGCTCCCCTCAGCAGTGAATATCAGTCAATCTGTTTTGCTTCCCAATCTGTCTCTGGTGAATCCTCTCACCCCCTCAAACCTCTGGCCTGTTCTTATATGCATAAATAAATAAATCTTTTTAAAAATAGAGTTCTAGACTTAGATAATTATGAGTTTTTCATGTACATGAACATCTGAAGGGATGTTTCAAAGTCAAGTGGGGCAACCTCATGCATTATAAGTGGGCAGCTTTGCCTCCTGTCTACTACCAGAGGTTCCCAAGTATACAAAGTGCCTTCCTGCTGAAAATTACCAACATGAGATTGGATGTAGCTGTTAAAAGAATAAGGTAAAACATCTGAAAAACAGCCTGAGTTTAAGATGAAAGAGAAGTAAAATGCAATATAAAATATGCTAGTTTCTACAAAAAGCAGAATTAAACATCTGTTCCTGCCTGTGGCTAGGATACCTTAGGGAGGGTGCAAGAGAAATATTTCTCAGGAGGTACAGAGGGGAAGGTCTGTGGGAAGAGAGGTCACATTTCACCATGTTTTTTTTTAAAGATTTATTAGCTTCATAGTGCTGCATTACCAAGGAGGGCCCTCACCACGGTTTTTTTGTTTGTTTGTTTTTTAAAGATTTATGCATACAAGAACTGGGGTACAGGACAGAGGTGCTGGGCGTGGTGAGAACATTCACCAGAAACTGGGGAGCAGAACAGGCAGATCTACTGAAAGACTGCTGAGGGGAGCAGCAGGGGAGACAGGAGAAGTCTGCTGTGCCATGTGGGTCAGCTCCCTGGCTGGGGATCAAATTCGTGCTGTAGTGGCTGCAGTGACCTCATAGTGCTAAGATTTAATCACTTGTGCCACCAGGAAGGCTCACTACATGTCTTTTGAAACTGTATTCCCTATGAAAATGCCAAAAATACATTCAAAAATGAATCATTAGTATTTAACTCACTTCAAAATACTTAATGTAAACAAAGACATGCTCAGAAATTAGACTTTTTTCATCCATTATTACTTCCAATAACTACTAGAAGTTTCCAAAAGCAGAAACTAAAAGTTATTCCTGATTATGTATTGTGAATAAGACATTTGTTACCATCCCTTCTTCATGTTTCTCAACTGTCAATTCAGCATTATTTTTGTCTATAGAGGGGCAGAAGACTTGAAGTGGTAAACTGAAAAGCATTTGTTATTAGTTAAATAAAACATTATTTTACTTAAAAAACTCCCAGATTTGGGCCCTCCCTGGTGGCGCGGTGGGTTAAAGCACGGCACTAAGAAGCTAAAGACACTTCCACATGAGTTCCATTCCCGCCTGCCCGGGAGGTGACCACATGGCACAGCAGCCTTCTCCTGACCCGCCCGCTGCTCCCCTCAGCAGTGTACTTCGTTGATCTGCCTGTTCTGCTCCCGGCTCTGTGTGTGGTGAATCCTCTCACCATCCCTGCACCTCTGGCCTGTACCCCGGTTCTGTATGCACAAATAAATAAATCTTTTAAAAAAAACCCCAGATTTGCCTAAGATTTTAACAAGAGGCCACTTTTCCTTGATTTTCTGGGTCATCTTTCATATAGCAGAATCCTTCTAAACTTCCACCATTTCCCACCCCTCTTCTTTAACAGTTGGCTCAGCAACTCATTTTATTAAAGAGAAATTTTTGTTACTTTATTTTTGACAAACCCGCTTTTCATACAAATATGAATATTTTTTCCACATTTAACTCAGTAGATTTATAGAACTGTTTACCGAATTAGATATTTAAATAGTTATGTCTTGCATATGCAGACCTGGGAAGAAATAAAATTGATTCATGGTAAACACAGGAAGGACAAAAACAATACTGAT